CTGCTAATTTGCCTAATCTCCAATAGCCAGCAGGTCAGGCTCTCTCCACTGCCCTACCAGCAATCCATGCTCCCGTGTGACTCTTTGGGAAGTGCACTCTGCTCTCACAAGTGCAATAATTATCCCGATGCACCGAACTGGTGTTTCTGAAAGTTTATCACTTAGGAAAGTATGATTCATGATTTCTGAAGTCTCTAGATGGAATCCATGTTTTCCTCACATTTACTAGGGCCAATATTCACTATATAGTGTATTGCTTGGCCATTTGCTGCAATTCCTCTCGCTGTGAAAGCCTGAAGCAGTATAAAAGTCAGTCTTTCAAAACAGACCCCAATGACAAAAGCCAGCAATATGCCACACAGCACTTGAGCAATAAGAAAGGACAATCAATCAAAAAATTAAAAGCTCCTTGTGGTATGGAACAGTAATAAAGTTGTGAGGGGAACTCATCATTATGCTGGGGGATAAGGCTTCCCCTGTCACTTAGGTAGGGTGTCTGGCTACAGACCTGAGGCGACGGCTGGAAGGATATTCCATCCTGGATTTTCAGTTCTTCATCGTATTCCCACCAGGACAGCTCCAGCAGCCCTCCTCTCCTGCCATTGCTTCCTGGCACCTTACAAAGGAGAACTTCCCAGGCCTGAAGGCCTTTGCTAGGGAACTAATAGACCCTAGGAACCCAAAACACTTGGGTATGACTTTCCTCTGGGGAGCAAAGGGGAACGTTGCAGCTCATTTCATTTTTCAGTGATGCCCCAAAATAATGTTCTGATGCTCCTTAAGGAATGAGAATCATAGAAATGCAGCTCCTTTCCTCGCCTGCCAGGGCAAGGAGGTAACCACTGGCAGGCAATGGGACAACCTTCTCCTGAGATCTAGCAAGGGAAAGATGTTTTGGAGAACATCTCCTAGTTCTATTTACATACTGTATATGCATGTATTTATACTTTATCTGTCTCTGTTTTCCTTTTATCATCAATGAAATTATTTTAAAATGCGTGTATAAGTATTTTTGTCAAAGGAGGGTAACAAAATCTTCATAACTAATAGGATCCAGATCTTTTGAATGATAGTGATGATACAGAATGTCTCTGCAGTTACATGTCAAATCAGCTGTAAAATCTTACAGAAAATTAAAATAAGAATCCTCTAGTCTTTGAAACTATATTTTCATAATCAGGTAACTGAGTGTATAATCACCTTGTAAGTAATAAATAAGATTTTCATTGAGAAAACTAAAATGTCAGCCAGAAAGCTGAAGAATGATTTTATGTAAAACACTGAACAAATGTCAATCAAATTGAAGTAAATTGATAATTCATATAATCATGTCATGTCATTCATACATTCACATGTTCTAATTAGACACGTAACGTAGATGCATGCTACTAATTTATCAAGAACTAGCAGTTCCATCAAATTGCCTTGTGGAGATTTATTTTAATTATGGAGTAGCATTTTTTGTGACAACTTAAGTTTCTCTTTCCAAGTTGTAAATGCACATATTTTATAACTGTAAAGCATTTAAAAAAGAGAAAATAACTGAATTGAAAACTCTGCCTACAACCTTCCAGAGATTTAAAGAAGATTATGATCCCAGATTGGTTTCCCATAGCTCTACGCATGTATGTTAAATATTGTCAGATGTTTTATTACAATTAACAAAATAAATGGTTGAATCTCAGACCAAAAACTTTTTCACTGCTTGTGTACTATGCAAGGTTAGTCCAGGATTAATGCAGAGGGGAAGTGCTGATTTTTAGAGCAATATTTAGTCTAGTTCTACTGGTGGATTTAGGTTTTCTTGTTTCACTTATTTCATTTGGACTTCTGTAGCTCTGTAAAGACATCATTCTTGTCAGTTATTTCTGTCAATATATACAATAAAACCACTGGAATTATTTTTCGAAGCAGCTAATTAATTTTCTGCTCAGGAAGAAAAGAAAGCCAGCAGCAAGCGTTTTGTCTGCGCAAGGGCAAAACAAAGAACTGAGACGTGCTTCACTTCGGGAAGAAACTTTGGGAACAAATATATGGCTGGCATCAATGGCACAGCCACCATCCATCAGACCTGCAGGGCAGGGGGTGTCCGAATGGGAAGGTAGAGACAACATCCAGCAGCTCCGAGCTGCCATCTGAGCCCCTGGAAGTGCCTCCCCAGATCCAAGCAGAGGGATTCCTGCTCGGCACCACCGCAGCACGGAGATAATGGGACTGACGGGGGCTTTCTGCAGCCCATCGATTTCTTTTCATCCACGGAAGAAAGGGAAAATTGATAGCAGAGAAGGGAAAAAGATTGCCAAGGAGAGAACTGAAACCTGTAGCCACGAAAACCCCAAATGTCAAGATTTGAACAAAACCTTACAAGTCATCCCAGTGCACCGTTCTTGCGTGACCAACCCCGCCCGACAATGCCGTGTTCTTAGTTCTCTACAGTCAGGCTGATGTTTTTTAGCCATTATAGCTGAGTATTAGAAGTTGTAGCTCTTTTATTAAGTGAAAACTGAGACAAAATTATACTAACGTGGATACAGGAAAATGGAGCTGAATTGTAACTTTGGAAAGTTTAAAACTTCCTGAAGCAAAAACTTCTTTGGCTCTTGGAGAAAAACCTGCAAATGAAAGGGTGTGTTCCACAGGTACTTACAAACACACAGTGCTTATCACCGGGAGCTGAACTAACTTTCCAGAAAAACATCCTTCCCAATAGAATTTCCTTTTATTTTTATGAAACGGAGCATTAAAACGTGCCTTTCTACTCGACTGTGCTCTCCTGCTCTAATGTAGTTCATGTTCAGACGCAATTTTCTTAGAACAACTCAGCCTAAAAAGCTAATGGTTCTCTAAGGGGCACTCCCTGCCTCCCCTGCTATCTCGGGTGACCTGCGGTTCCAAACTTCAACGTGGCCATTATAAACATTTGGATCTTAAAGTGGTACTGTTGGTATGGGAACTACTAATGTTTCTTTTCCATGTATTTATCATTTATATAAATGTCAACTCTAATTTGTACTAAAAACTAATAACTTTATCGAACAGGAACTGTGCATCGAATTCCTGTAACAACAGTATTCCATCAAACAGTTAAATCCTTTTGTTTGATGTCAGGTTATTTATAACTTTGTAAAAGAAATAAGTCTTTATATTAGTAGTCCAGAGTTTCTCTTCAAAGTTAGATCTGCATTATTTCTTTGCTTCTATATAAACAGATCTCATACTGCCAGTATTTAATCAGCAGAATATGTCACCACTTAGGCTCTTCTTCTGTTTTAAGGTCAAGCTCTTTTCTTTCCATTTTGCAAACTCCACTATTGGCAAAGCCGTGAGCAAAGAATGCTCTAAATTCCTCCTAACATTTCTCAGCCATCAGAGCACCATTTCCACGCAAAAAGAAAGTTCCAGAATGCTACACTCAAATTTAAAAATAAGAATTTTGTCTATTTGAAAAATTCCAGTGTTTATTTTCTTAGCATCACGTGTCAGCTTTCAGAGAGAAAGATAAGGGAGTTCAGCAATAACATTAGTCTTCCTATAAACCACATTGTAAGCATTGTCCTTTCAGAGCTCTATGGTTTAAGCAGATTCAGGGGTGCTCTGTGTATACATAACAGGAAAAAATTATCTCAGCGGTTTTTGGGTAATCATCCTAAGATGTATGAAGATTTAGGATACGACAATGGCAACTACCAGCACAGCATTGCAGTGAAGATTTAAAAATGTTTACCAGAAGTGGTGCTAGTGGGAAATCTAGGAAAAGAAGTTCTTTATACAAAGCTCTCGAAAAAATGTCATCCAAAAACAAGTCACCTCGGTTATAACAAGTGAAGTATGTATAGATTAAATTAATCAATAAATAAATGTTAAACATATATTGTAAAAGATAAACTTCGTTACAATGTGATGAAAGGAAAATAGAAACAATTCTAACATGCATTGAGGGTACTTGTGAATTTAATATATGCCCAGGCTACAGGATAAAATAGTAATCTAATATCTGAACCAGAAAAGGTATTAAAGAAAAGCCTAACTTCAGAAGTGACAGCATTTTAGCATTTGATATATTAACATAAAGATAAACATTTAAACGTGAGGTTGCTCTTGTGTTAATCATATACTTAAGGACCTTAAGGGTATCACATCTTTCTAAAAAATTGTAAACTTCGTTGTTTCCACAATAACATAAAAGGAGATTTATATATTTGTTGGCCTAATAATTTTTAATCAGAAAAGATTATTATAAATTAAATGTATGAGAAATACACGTATTCTGTAAGATAAAATTAAAAAAACAACACATTGTGACGTCTCGAACCCTCAGGTATTATTCTGAGCCCTGAAATGATTACAATTAGCCCTTTGTAGCCCTGCACTGTTTTTCAGTGCACTGTTTTTCATCTTCACACTTTGAGGATACACCACTCATACATTTAAGTTGCTGCTTTGGGCACGATCTGAAACAAGATGATTTAAAGGGTAGAGAAGAAACAGGACCATAGTCAACAGAAGTTTAAGGAGACTATTCTATTGGCTGAGGTTTCTGCCAGCATCCCCGGTAACAGAGCTAGTTCGGGTCAAAATCCCCAGAAGGTGTGAATAATTCAAACATTACAGCCTAAAACACATAAAATCTTTTTGTATGTCTCGGAGCATTTTCTCTCTTCAAAAGCAAACATTTTTTGTCACACTCCAAAATTCTGCTCACAAGCAAGCTACACAGCCTTAGAATTAGTATTCCTAGCACATTCTGTCTTATGGCTTCCCCAAGAAATCTAAAGGGTTTGTCAAAGTATCTAATCATCAGCTAAGAAGCCTGTGAAACACTGAACCATTGGACATGTTACAGAGCTGGCTGAGACAAAGCTTCAAACAGAGAGCAAGAAAATGTGCTTTTCTGCCATGAAAAATGGGCTACAGTTTACCCTTTACTAAGAGAAGAGGAAGACGAGCAATATTTTCCATAGTGCTCAATTAATGCATTTTGTTCTTTCTTTATGTTTCAGTATCGCTTCGATCAAGTGTGACTTGAGCTGAACATGACAAAACGGCTTCGGGAGACTTCCCTGGGCCTCTTGCAGGCTCCCACCCTCAGAGCAGCATCCAAGTGCTCGGAAGAACTGTCAACCGGCCGAGCCCAGCGCTGTGAACACAGAGCAGGCCGGCGTTCCCTCTGCATGGGGCCGGCCACGCCGGGGACAGGCAGCGCGGTCGGCAGAGACTTGGGAAACCGAGAGTTTATGGCAGAAGCACAGGGAGTTCCCTCACACATGAGGCAAGACAGACAATAGCTCACAAGGCCCGATTAAATATTTGCAGGCTTTAGACTTTGTTTTAAAGTTCTGTGTGAAATGTAATTCTCACGCAGAGGAGCGAGCGCCAGGGTGGGAGCAGGGCAGAAGGACGGCGGGCGTTGCGCAAGCTCCGGCTCCATCCGCGCCACTGGAGCGCCACCGGCCAAACCCGGAGCGGGCCAGGCCCAGGTCTGAGCCCAGAACAAACTGCTTATTAAGTAGGATTACGCCAAACTGTGTGGTGCTTTTCCGTGTGTACAAAGTTCCAGTGGGGATTAAGCTGAGACCACCAAACTCCTTTTATCCCCAACCCAGGAGTAAGATTAGAACGTTGCTCTCTGGAGGTGGCATTAGCTGACTGCTCTCTCTCTTACTCTCCAAGCTTCGTTAGTGACTGTATTTTAAGGTTGTTGAAAGCACTGGCTTTGATGGCATCGGGAGATAAGTTTATTCTTTTGTGTTTACAGTTTGAGAATAAGACAATAACATAAATCCAAACGCATTCATTTCTCACACTTATTCCTACACACTCTCTCTTCCCCTCCCTACAGGAGTCAGCCAGCCCACCATGAACCGAAACTAAACGCACTTGATTTCACATTAAGTCTTTGCTCATATTAAATTACCTTCCCCACATCCTCTCAAAAAGCAAAATAGAAAAAAACTAAAACGAGATGCATTTCGGAGTGTTGGAAATACAATTAAGATGTGACACACGAAATGTGCAGCCCCAAATGCTTCGGCCGTATTTGCTTTGCTTTGTCATGACTCATTCTTAGAAAAGAAAAGGTTTATCAGTAAGCTCAAACAACAAAGGTGTCTGACAAATTACCTAAGAGGCGTCCCTGCTTTTCCCTGACTGCCCAGACAGGAATGCCATCTCTCCTGAAGACACTGGTTCACTTAAGTGAATTTATGTGGTCTGAGGAGCAAAAGCACACATTACAGAGCTGGCTTAATGTACTCCGCTTTAACGTGGGGAGTTTAATCCTTAGGGGATTTTTGTTCACAAGCTGAAGTGCTTCTAAATGGGAGTCAAGACTACAACTTCACATGAATCACTCGCTTGCCAAAATCAGCTATTTCACAAAATTTACCAGGCATATTTTTTGTGTGGACCTATAAAGCTTTAAAAGGTCAGGGTGTGCTTTTTTTAAGGTTTAAAGAAATAAACCCACAACCTCAACATGAAATCAATACTCCTAAAAATCTCTCTTGAGAAGAAACTAACAAAATCAGAATTAAGTAATTTCAGATACTATTTACTTACAGATAGGGATGTTAACTACACGATAACTTCCAATTCCTGCATCCTCACTCTTGTGCTGTGCTTTCAAAAACTCCACCTACCAGATCAAAACTGTTCCAGTCCCTCCATAGCCCCAAAAGCAACACAAATAATGAAAGTTTAATGATGGCCTTCAGTAAACAACCCATATGGAAACTCTACGTAATATTTTTATAACTTCCAAGTTTTCCTGTCGACTTCTGATTTTGACAGTTTTTCCATTTAGGAGTATTTTTCTTCCTCCACACTAACACTAGAGGAAACTGGCCACATACTGAAACTCAATATGCACTAACTCTGTCAAAAGCACAAAATAATTTCCCTACCAAAGGTCATTCCTGATCTAAAGTCACTCTGTAAGTGTCCCTTACAGCCCAACAGTGTTTCTAACCACAGCCAGGATGAATGTCATACAGATATATATGTGTGTGATATACACTGGGGGACAAAGGGTGCTGCCATTTTATGACACGAGTAAGACTTACCACACACAAAAAGGGAAGAAAATATAACTATAAGTCAATCATTTAATAAAAAGGGGAAAAGACAATCTTGATATGAAGCCTTTCCTGGGGAATAACTGCCATGCTTTGTGCGCTGGGAATGAGTGATAAATTCCATGATCCTTTCAGAACTGTGCCTACCATACAATATTTTAGTTTCTTTAAACGTTATATTTATACCTGTGATAGTGCTGTGTGATGTTTTATATATTTAACATGGGAGAGATTCCTGTCCCAAAATATCCTGCAATCTTACTGCTCCTTGCTCCTGTAACTGGAGCTAGCTGGGATGCCTGAAACGTATTTTGCAATAAGTTTTCCACATCTATACAGCAAGGAGAAATTTCTAGTAAGTGATTGATACTATTAAATCTAATGCCATTTGCTTCTATTTTCAACACATGGATTATTAGATATTAACATTTCAATTATTTATAAGTTTATAATAAGAATAACATACTATTCTTATAGTGGCCAGAAGTGTCCAGGGATAGAGGGTTTGGAGGGACAGAGAAATAAGTGAGAATTATGCAACTGGAAGACAAACTTTTGGGGGATGAAATTCCTTTTTGAAAGACACACGGTGTGTCTCCAAATTTTTCCAAAAACTTCTGAGAAAAGTTTTTACTTCTATTTACAAATCTTAATTTTATAATTATGTTTTGAAAAGCTGCACACACTTTCCTCCAGCTCTTTCAAAGAGATCTGGTTTTGCAATCTATTAATAGTATCTTTTAGAATTCTACAGTTTCATATCCTACAAATCCCCAAAGTTAGCGGGATTCTCCTAAAGCACTCTAAATACAGTGTGTGCCAAAAACTGGGAGAACAAAAGCTATTTTTATTTAAATAAAGAGATAGCAATGCAAATGAACAATGCAACTTCTTCTAGAGCCTGTCAGACAAGATCCTCAGTCTGAGGATCTGATTTGTGAGGACTTTTCAGATGAAAAATATCCCCTAACTGCAATGAATATGGAAAGATTTCTATTCCCAATGCAGCAATGTGAAAGAAGTCAAATCGTCTGTCATTCGTGCTAATTTAATTACAGGGCCACATTCAATTATCCAATATAATATGCAAATGAGGTGAGTTGACAGCACATGCTAATTATATTCATTATACTAATTAAATCAAACAACGAAAGGGAATAAAAATGTAATGAAATAGGAGGATATTTTTAATTAACAAGAACATTTTAATTAGAAACTGTAATTCTACAGTCTGATATAGTACGGTTGGCTATTGAAAGGTTGGACATTATTTTTATTACGCAGTTTAGTTTTACACGTCTATCCTTAGTACCATGGGACCTGTTTTTGCATGGTAGTAGATTAAATGGTGGCCAAAAAAAGAGAATTCCCTTTTCCTTGCTCATAGTTCATGCAGAGCAGATGCCTAATAAAGCTGTGGCACAATTACAGAGCCCTCTGTGAAGCACAGGCTGTCTGGCTCTGTAGTAAACACAAGTTCACGTGCCGATACAAAACAGACAGTGCAGCTCGGGCTGCACTACTGACGTTGGGCCATTTAAAATATTAAAGAAACACTCCTTGGGTTTTGAAATTTTCAGTTTCATAACTGATTTATTTCTTCAGCGACAGCAGCTGCCCTGGGAAAGCTTTATGAATGTTAAAACAAAATAGGAAAAAAAGGAAAGGAATATTACTAATATATTATATGTGGGCAGAGTCAGCAAAATCAGTCTTTTTAAAATAAACAGAGCAAGCACTATCAAAACACTCAGGAATGTGTTCCTTAGGAATCCATTGTCCTCAGTGCTCCTCAACAGAATCACTTGGGCCTGGACCAAGAGCCAGCCGTGGTGAAAACACCAAGTGGGAGCCCAGCCACTGCCTCTGTGTGTGTGTGCGGGACTCGCCGGGAGGCCCCCTCGGATTCCGGGCTCCTGGAAACTGCAGGGAAATGGGAATCTCAAAGCCATACAACAGAAAAAACCTTTTCCTTTTCAATTTGCCACTCAACTAAATATAAAGACTTTTACAGCCAGCGCAATAAATGAAGACAAACCTATGTTACGTTAAGTGACTGGCACATGATGCTCTCGGAAGATTTTGTTCTACGAATGTGAAATATTTAGGAAATTGCCCTTTTATGATTTTGACTGCACAGTGGTAATAGTTCACTTACTTAAATCACAGTACTACTACAGAAGGTCAATGTTGAGGTTGACAGGCTGTAAAATTTCCTTTTTAGAAATCTATCTATTCTCCAAACTGAGGAACTGCCCTTTTTTTTTTCTTTTTAAATAATTAATGCCTTTTTTTCTTTATTCCCCTATGTTGCTTTTGATATTTATCCATTGATGTGGGTAGACAAAGGAATCACAAAAGACATACTGAAAACTCCAAACAACTGTTTGACCTTTTTTGTTTGGAGTGTTGAAAGGACTGAAAACACACCTCTGTTTGTTATAAGGAATACAAATTTAGAGAGGGAAAGACTTTAACCTACAAACATTTCCAAACAAATGCACATTAGACTGCAAGAAGAACATGAATCTGCTTTGAAATATGTCAGTTATTGACTCAGTTCAAGTTGGTTCAAATACTAAATAAACAGAACTATCTGGCTTTATGGAAATTTGTTTTCATAGCTCAAGTCTAGTGTATCTATTTTTATTACACTGTTCTTGCCAGGAGTTCAAGCCTACTATTTGAAAACTTCCACTGTGAGACCAATTTTTTATTTTTAGTAGGATAATAACAACGAAAGAAAAAAAATTGGAAGCTCATAACATAATAAAAAATTAAACCATAACTGAATGAATAGAAAGCACTTCCCTTGGCATGAAAGGCAGTCTGTCTTTAGTGGAAGTCACAACACCAACAGCACCTGAAAATAACGACTGCAAGCAAGTTGTACTGCTTTGCCTTGTAGTAATAGGAAAATTGCTTCCTTTCACTAAAAAACCTTCCCTCTATTTCGCAAGTACATGAGTGAGGAATGCTTCAGTTTCTTAAAAAAGTTTTTTTTAAATAAAAAAGCCAAATCAAAATGCCACCTCCTCACTTAAAGACTTATTAATGAGGAATACTAGAAATACCATAAAAAAGTTAAGCACATTATGATATCTCTTGAGATAGTACCTCTAAAGCAAACCACCCTAAAAGACAGCTTTTAGGGTATGAAAAGTACTGACATACTACGGCTGTTCAATCAAAGCCCCAAACTTGATTCTCAGAGCTGCGTAAACCACCTTTAAATCTTGAAACGGGGCAGATTAGTGATTGCACATGACCTCGAGCCCAAGTGCACATGCTGAAGACTCCAAGACCTTTCCAAATCCCCATCTGGGAAGCACATACTGTCTCTGGATGGCCCATGGCACCCCCCCAGCCCCAGCCAGCTGCTGCCATGGCCCGGTGCCCACTCCCCACGGTCGGACCTTCACCCTGGGGCACCGACAGCGACGGGCACTACAGACTGGGACTGCTGGTAGGAAATCCCTCTTCTGCACTATTCCTGGCACGTTTGTAGTGGCAAATCCTCCACGCAATGAATCACATCTGTTTGTACTTGTGTGCCAGAAGAGAAATTTATAAACTGCAGAGAAAAGACAACACAGTTTGCTGGCCCTTCTGGGTGCCAGCACGACCCGTCAGGCAGCACAGGGACTCAA